TGCTAAGTCGTCTGCCTCAACGTTTTGTGCTCTCGGAACTTGTTCGAAGCGGCACTCGTCGAACTCGGTCATTAACCTGTGGATTTCTGACTGGTATTTTTGAACCCTCTGCTCCTTGATTTGGTAAGTCCCGGTGACCTGGTTCACCACGAGCTGAGAGTCGCAATGGAGAACGAGTCGTCGAGCTCCTACTTGATGGCTAGTTTCAAACCTGCAATAACAGCCTCGTACTCGGCTTCGTTGTTAGTCATCTCGGGGCATCGTATGGACTGGCGAATTGTTTTGCCCGTGGGTACCTCGAGAACGAGTCCCAGTCCCGATCCCGAGGCGTTAGCGGCGCCATCAGTGTAAAGAGTCCATAGGTCGGCATTGGAGGGGGCACGGCGTGCCTCCAATTCCGCCTCTGGTAGTATCTCTGCGCTGAAGTCGGCAAGTACTTGCGACTTGATGGCGTTTCTTGGATGATATGAGATACCGTGCTCTCTATGGCCCATCGGGCGAGTCTGCCTGACAACTCAGGCTTGTGTAGGATACTTCTCAAGGGGAATGTCGTCACTACCTTTATGGGGTGGCATTGGAAATAGGGTCGGAGCTTCTGTGAAGCTACGACCAATGCCAAAGCTAATTTTTCAAGGTGTGGATACCGTGTTTCGGCGTCCACTAAGGTTTTGCTAATATAGTAAATAGGAGATTGTGTACCTTCATTTTCACGAACTAGGACTGCGCTGACGGCAACCTCGGATACGGCCAAATATACCAGCAGTGGCTCGCCTGGATTTGCTTTGGCTAGCAGTGGCGGTGAAGATAGGTACGCTTTCAATTTCCTTAGGGCCTCGACGCATTCCTCATTCCACTGTAACCCTTTGTCCTTTCTCAGCACATTGAAAAACTTATGGCATCTGTCGGAGGACCGTGAGATGAACCTAGACAAGGCGGTTATTCGCCCCGTCAACTTTTCACCTGCTTTTTACTGTTCAGTATCTTGGGTATTGCGTCTATCGCCTTGATCTGATCTGGATTGACTTCGATACCTCGTTGTGATACGAGAAACCCTAAGAATTTTCCTGATGCCACGCCGAAGGCGCATTTCTCGGGGTTCAGTTTCATCCCGTATCTTCTCAATATCTCGAAGGTTTCTTTCAGGTGGTCGATGTGGTCCTCTTTTCTTGTCGACTTTACCAGCATGTCGTCGATATAGACTTCCATAGTCTTACCGAGCTGCTCTTTGAACATTTTGGTGACCAGTCTCTGGTACGTAGCCCCTGCATTTTTGAGCCCGAAGGGCATTACCTTGTAGCAGTAAGTCCCTTGGTGGGTGATGAAAGTTGTCTTCTCTTGGTCCTCCTCGGCCATCATGATTTGATTGTAACCGGAGTAGGCGTCTAGGAAGCTCAGTAGTTCATGTCCTGCAGTGGCGTCGATCAGTTGGTCGATGTGGGGTAGTGGGAATGAATCCTTCGGGCATGCTTTGTTCAGATCAGTGAAATCCACACACATTCTCCACTTCCCGTTTTTCTTTTTGACCATGACAACATTGGCGACCCACTCGGGGTACTTTGATTCTCTGATGGAGCCGTTGGCCAGTAACTCGTCTACTTCCTTACTTATTGCTTCGTTGATAGCGGCGTTGAATTTTCTCCTCGTCTGTCGCACGGGCGGATGTAGTGGATCGACATTCAGCTTGTGGGTGGCGATGTCTCGCGGGATTCCCGGCATATCTGAATGGGAAAAGGCAAACAAATCTGCATGGTTAGTTAAGAATTCATAATACTTACTTGGGTTGGCGAGACCGTGCCCGATATAGGCCTTCTTCGTAAGATCAGTTTCGTCCAATTGGACGGGGTCGAGATCTTCGACCGTTGCTTTACAGGCCTCCACGACGTCGGGGTCTTTGATGGCGTCCGTTGTCGGGTTGACCTTAGTCCCCGACACGGCTAATTGCTATGCCTCCGCGCTCGCCCCCTTTAGCTGTTGGGTGTGGGCGCAGTCTTGGGCTATTTTGTAGCATTCTTGTGCGGTGCGTGGCTCGCCTCGAATACTGAATACTCCCCATGGGGTAGGGAATTTGATCACTTGGTAGAGGCTTGAAGGGACCGCTCGCATGGCGTGTATCCACGGGCGTCCTATGATGACGTTGTACGCCGTTTCTTGGTTCATCACGTGGAAAGTCGTTTCCAGCGTGACTCCTCCCGCTAAGACGGGCAGTGCTATTTCTACGGACGTCCGTTCCACTGCATTGTTAAAATCGGTTAGTGTTATGCAGCACGGTATTACCTTATCCTCGAGTCCCATTTGTATGAGGACCCTTGGGTGGATAATACAGGCGCCACTTCCGTCATCGATCATGACCCTTTTAACATCCGTATCAGCAATACGTAAAGTGATAACTAAGGCATCATAATGAGGGAAAGACAAACCGTCGGCATCAGACTTATCGAAGGTGATACAATCTTCGAAGTCCTCATACCGTTCATGGGCGATGGTCCGCTTTAGTCTGTGTGTGGTGGTGAGCTTGACGTGATTGATCGCTGAGTCGTTGTCGCCTCCGACGATCATGTTTATCGTGCGTGCTGGGGAAGGTGGCTTCGGCGGCCCGTGGAGTTATTCCCGTCCGCGTGCGAAGTTGATTTTTCCTTTGTCACTGAGTAGCTCCCTCAGGTATCCCTGGTTCAACATCCTGACCACCTCTTGCCGTAGGCCTATGCAATCTTCGGTTTTGTGTCCTCGTTCCTGATGGAACTCACATAGGGCGTTTGATTTCCTTGTGGCAGGGTCTGATTTCATCTTCTGCGGCCAATGCACCTTGGTGCCTAGCTTCTCCAGTGCGTACACTATCTCTGAAGGAGATACACAAAAGTTATGGGCAGTTAATAAAGGGGGCGTACCTCTTTCGTTTCGCGGTGGGGCGACGTGTCGCTGTAGTGCGTCTGTATGCCTTGGTGGCGGATGGGAGGATCTGGTGTATGGCTGGTGTCGATCTCTGTTGGAGCGGGGGAGTTGTTCCCGTCGACCTTCGTTCATCGATCTCTCCTTGTTTCTGAGTGTATCGCTGTTAGCCGTTGGGTCGGCCCATTAAGATCATCCTCGTCCGCTCGTACCTCGGCGCTATAGGCGTTGTGGATTTCCTCCCATGTGGTAGGGGGATATTTCATGAGGCGGCTCAGCAGCTTCTTGGTTGCCCTCGAACCATCTCTGCGACTTAGCTGGGAAGAGACTTTCTTCTTCTCCCGAGTCAAGCTGGGGCGTCATTTCATTCTCGTAACGGGAATGAGTGCTTAGCCCGTTCTGGAAAGCGGCGACTGTCATACCTTCCGATACGTTTGGTAGACTCATCCTTACCCTGTTAAACCTTGCTAGGAAGTCCCTGAGTCCTTCTCCTGCATTTTGCCTGATGGCGAAGATGTCGTTGACCCTGGCCTCCGCTTTCTTCGCGCCTGCATGGGCTGTGACGAATTTATCCGTCATTTCCTCGAACGTTGATATTGCCTTAGCCGGTAGCTGAGAGTACCATGTTAAGACCCCTCCTGCTAACGTCTCGCCAAACTTCTTCAGTAGTACCGACGGTACCTGTTATTTCGATAGGTCGTTGCCCTTTACGGCGGTGACCTAGTGGATCAGATGATCCTCGGGATCTGTGGTTCCGTCATATACCCTTAAGTAGGGTGGCATCTTGAAGGTTTTTGGGGTGGAGTGAGGAGCAGCTTCTTCGGTGTATGGTTGTTCAACGAACCTTCCCACGTCGCGTTTTGGTAGCAACTTGGCAGCACCGAAGATCTTGTCGACCCTCTCTTGATGTTCCTTCATCTGACCACGGAGCGCCTTGTTTTCATTTTCCATTTCTTCCATCTTCTTTAGGATGGCTGTTAGCATGCCATCGTTGGTCTGTGTCTCGATGGGTCTGTTATTTACAAATGTAGCTTCCGGTTCGCCCACGGCAGCAGTGGTACCTACCGTTGGTGTACATACCATGTTATTTTGCGGTGACCTCTCGACTAAGCCACTTAGAGTGCTTGTTAGCTATCTTTCCAGTAGCTCTTTGACTGCCGAGGGTGCTTCCGTAGCCGCAGATGTGGAAGCTCCTTTTTCGTGCAAGATCGTCAGGCCTTCGAATGGGGAAGGTGACATCTCTGCACCTGGTGTGATGCTAGGGGTTGCATTCAGGATGCCACCGTCACTGACCTCGTTGAGAGGGCCCAGGAGATTGGTAGTGACACCCAATATGGCTTTCGATCTTGTGCTATTTTCTGCCATTTTTCTGTTTTTGTGTAGTGTAGAGAGTGGTAGTTGGTTGATCTCTAGGTGGATACTATGATTTTAATTCTCGAAATCCCAACAGACAGCGCCAAATTGTTTGGCTCAAAAGTTAACAATATACTTTGTAAGCGATAAAACAATCAAAAATAGTAAAGGGGTAAATCGTAATCAAATATAATAAGTCTAGAGATGCAAAGATGATAATATTGTTGTGGATCTGATATTGTAAAGTGATAATGTTTACCAATAAAATATTTTCGTTAGAGGTAGAGATATAGAGAGATAAAGCCAGAAAAATAAGAAATTTGTATTAGATCAGATGTCCCTTTTACAATGTGGAGGTCTCGTTTATATAATAGGAGACCTTCCTTGAAAAAATCAAAAAGGTACAAAGATAGGTAACGTCTCCCTAGTATGGACGTTGAATTCTGAACGATGTCGCTTTTGTCCTCACGGCCGAATCGTACCCGCTACGTTGGTCGGCATATACTCATTGGGCATGCCCACTAATGTAGGGATACTAAGGGTCAAATTTGACCCTATACAGAAAACATAATAATATATGGCCCTTGTAATATTATTTTATTCCATTTTTAATTTATCTGTATTAAGAAAATATATTAAGGTTCTTACATAAGGTGACAGAAATTCATTCCTAACCCAAACTTGCTTGGGATTGAATATTACTTGTGGCACAATATACTTCGTTTTTGCCAATAGATCAAATGCAAATTGAAATATGAAGCTGAAGAAAACAACCTTAAAGAAACAAACTTCTCATTCACATAGATGGCTATAACCATATCAAAAAGCAAGTTCAGATCAACATATTTCTACTAATTCACAAAAACATATTGAACCTGCCTACCCAGCTAACTAATTTAACACAACAATCTAAAATTCCTGGGACTGGGTTCCGACTTCTGCTTTCCCCTTCCCAGTCTTTTTGGGCAGCAAATTTGTATGAATTTTTGGCAGAACTCCACCATTAGCAATTGTCACCTTTCCCAACAACTTACTGAGTTCCTCGTCGTTCCTCACAGCAAGCTGTATATGCCTCGGAATTATCCTAGTCTTCTTATTATCTCTAGCAGCATTTCCAGCAAGCTCTAACACCTACAAAATTTCCAAATATCAAAAACATAATCAACCAAATGCCCAAAACATAACATATTTAATCATCATAAAATGGGTCAGAATGGGTACCTCAGCAGCAAGATATTCAAGAACAGCAGACAGGTAAATTGGTGAACCAGAGCCAAGACGCTGAGCATAACGACCCTTTTTCAGGTACCGAGCAATACGCCCAACTGGGAATTGAAGACCAGCTTTTTGAGATCTAGAAACAGATTTTTTTGAACCTTTGGCCTTTCCTCTACCTCCTACAGATTTTATTTCTCCTGTAGAACTCATGTTGATCAATGACAACGAATGTTTGGAGTTTTTGATTGAATTAATCAGAGACAGATTTCCCGCTTATACTGAATTGATACTGGTCTATGGGGTTTATATAGAGAGGGGGTGAGTAGTGTTGATTGGCTCACTTTAGTATCACGCGGATCGCAAACGTGGCAATCTTTAGTTTGCTCTGTGTCCACGTGTTTTAATGTAATTGGTTTGTATAGTTTCACAGGGATCGCCAACCCGTTATAAAAATTTTGCTGGAATTGGCTCCATTTTGTTTTACCGCTTTATTTTTCGCTTGTTTGGTTTTCCTTTGATTGCCGCCGAATTATAATTTCACATTACTTCAAAATTCAAGCTACAATTCAAGGATGCTATCTTTCGTGGCAATACAAGTACTGCGATTTTATTTACTACTGTTATGATAGAGACAATCTAAGATTTTAAATTTTAGATTTCTACAACAATCTCAAAATTACATACAATAATAACTGGATATATAGTCTAATTTATATATATATATATATATATATATATATATATATATATATATATATATATATATATATATATATATACGAGGTATAAGTAAAAACTACAGCATTCGGCATTCCAGTGAATCCATATTGGAATATAATACTTTGGTTCGCCCCTGATTATGGACACCCGCACACACAAACTTAGATATGCCCATGTTTCTATTCTCACAACAAATTAGAGTTGATGTACTTGTAGAGAAATTTTTGTTTAAAATCAATGCACGAAGGTTTTATTACCAAAAATCTAAAATGGTACAAGAAAGGAGTAGGTTGAAGTTGCTCGACAAGTTTGGGGGAAGTGCACAGTTAGCCAGTAGTAAGACATATATTTACTTTTAAACCAGTGTTTAAAATGTCTTTAAAGCCCGTTTGGATGGCTTAAAAAAGTGACTTTTCAGCAGAAATAACTTTAAACCAAAAAGAAATAAGAGCCCGTTTGGATGGACTTAATTTAAGTGGTTTTTAAGCCAAAATAGCTTTTAAGCCATAAGTTAGGAATTCTAGCTTTTGGCTTTTGGCTTTTGGCTTGTTTTTGTCATTTTAGCTTAAAAATAAGTGCTAAAAAGCACTTTTTTACTCTATCCAAACACTACAAAATGGCTTAAAAAGCACTTAAAATAAGCCAATCCAAACGGGCACTAAGTTGGGATTGCCCAGCTTCTTACTTTTGGCTTGTTTTAAGCAGTTTTTAACTTATTTTAAGCACTTTTTTATTTTGCAAACACTGAAAAAGGCTAAAAAGAGCTTAAAAGTTGATTTGACCAGCTTAAAAGCCAATCCAAATACCCTCTAGTCTTTAGCCACTTCTTTAATAAACTTTTACCCACCCGGACGAAATTACCCTTCTGCTTATAAAGTTGAGGACCAAGTGTCCTTAACTTATGAGCTTGTTGTTGTAAGTTCAGGACTAGCTGACCTTAATTTATGAATATGTTACCGATTATGTTGAGTTGCATGTGGGAAAAAGGATTACTGAGACAAGTATAAATGGAGTAGACTTTGTACGATCCTGTAGCTAACGGCGGGTTCGTTAGACCTGGTGCACCTTGTAATTACCGATTACCGTTACAGCCCTCGCTAGTGGGAAGGTAGAACTAGCATACCGTTACTAACTTCCCTCAAGTAGGAACTACCGTTATATTTGACTTCTTGCGAAGAAGTCTACAGTTATACCGATTACATGATCCGTTCATTGAAACCTCCCAAATATGAATATTGATATTATACAGTGGTTATCGAGCTTATTACTGACTTGTCAATTGTATTATACTACTGGAAAAAACATGATGAGACTAAAAATTATTTATTGTTTTTTAAAGGGCATTTTTATGATATTTTCTGTTTAATATACTAGTATATTTTCTGACTTGTCCACAATAAAAGCGGATGTGGTTAAGTGCTATTACTCACTGAGCTAGCGACTAACTCCCCGCTATTTTTTTCAGAGACAGCAGTTGACACAGGCGAGGATTTCATTAATTAGAGCGCACAAGTTGATATTTCTTGGTAAGCCTCGCACTTGTTCGCGTGGACGGAGATTTTATTTATTGCTTGGTCTTTTTTGGAACTCTTAGAGTCACTCCATAGTCATTCTTTTAGTATCATGAGTATTCTTTTGTTATTATAGACTTATGTTGAGTATTGCACTTTTTTATCAAAATTGGAGATAAATTAGTATTTCTGGTTGTTAGTGGTTGAGTATTAATGGTGTAGACTTGTTTGGTTAACTGATAAATTGTTGGTTGGTTGGTTGTTGATTTTGAGACAAGAAATTTTTTTTGGATAGCCCAAAAACAGGGGAAACTCTATCCGATTTTCTGTAAAACACCGATGAGGCTTACTTGGGGGCACTTGCTCCTAAGTGCCGGTCATGATCCTAAATTGGGTCATGACAAAGTTGGTATCAGAGCTTAGGCTTAAAGTCCCGAGTATGGATCAATGTTTAGTAGAGTCTACTCTCTCTTGTGTGTCCTCGTACTTTGCATTGAGGTTTAGTAGACAGCCTGAGCTATTGAATGATCCTTTTCTAGTTGCTACTCCTGCTGGAGAGTCCCTATTCGCTGAATGCGTGTATCGTGCTTGTCAGATTCGGGTTGGGGGTAGAGATAGTCTAGCTGACCTTATTGTACTTGATATGATTGACTTTGACATGCTGATGGGAATGGATTAGTTATATTTTTGCTATGCTATCGTCGATTGTCATGCAACGATAGTTAAGTTTGAGATACAAACAGACCCAGTTTTATTCTAAAAAGGGGTCAAGTTCCAGAGATTTGCAAAGTTGTCTCTTTTATGAAGGCTCAACGACTTCTGAAGAAAGGTTGCTTGGGTCTCTTAGCTATTGTAAATGACACAAGAAATGAAACAATTAATATAGAAAATGTACCAATAGTGAGAGAATTTTCTGATGTATTTCCTGAGGATTTACCAGGATTACCTCCAGTACGAGAAATAGATTTTGGTATTGATTTGCCATCTGACACACAGCCAGTATCGATACTCCCATATCGGATGGCACCAGCAGAGTTGAGGGAGCTAAAGCAACAGTTGCAAGATTTGCTAGATAAGGGTTTTATCAGACCTAGTGTATTGCCATGGGGTGCACCGGTATTGTTTGCAAAGAAGAAAGACCGATCTATGAGAATGTGCATTGACTACAAGCAGTTGAACAAGATAACAATACGCAATAAATACCATTTGCCTCATATAGACGACATGTTTGATTAGTTACAAGGAGCTTGCCACTTTTCAAAGATTGACCTCCGATCTGGTTATCATCGGCTTAGAATCAAAGATGAAGATATTTCTAAGACTACTTTCAGGACTCAGTACCGGCACTATGAGTTTCTGGTGATGCCTTTCTGACTAACTAACGCTCCGGATACATTCATGGATTTAATAAATAGGGTGTTCAAGCCGTTTGTGGATAGATTTGTAATAGTATTTATTAATGATATCGTGATATATTCTCGTAGCTAAGGAGAACACGAGAATTATCTCGGGACTGTGTTCCAGACATTGCGAGAACATCGGCTTTATTCTAAGCTCTTGAAGTGTGAATTTTGGCTAGACTCAGTAGCATTTCTGGGGCATGTTGTATCCAAATATTGAATTATGGTAGATCCTAAGAAGACAGAATATGTACAGAAATGGCCCAGACATACTTTTCCTATAGAGATTTGCAGTTTTTTAGGCTTAGTAGGCTATTACAAGCGTTTCGTGCAGGATTTTTCCAAAATAGCAGCGCCACTAACTAAGCTAGCTTAGAAAAATGCAAAGTTTTAGTAGACGGAGGAATGTGAGCAGAGCTTTCAGAAACCTAAAACATGTTTGACAACTGCACCAATATTAGCCTTACCATCAGGTTTCGGAGGATTTACGGTGTTCTATGACGGCTTGAGGGTGAGATTAGGATGTGTTCTCTTGCAAAATGAACGTGTTATAGCTTATGCTTTGAGACAATTCAAAAAGCACGAGCAAAACTATCCTACTCATGATTTGGATATGGTTGTAGTGGTATTTTCTCTAAAAATTTGGAGGCATTACTTATACGGCGAAACTTGTGAGATTTATACTGACCATAAAAGTTTGAAGTATATCTTTCAGCAGAGAGATCTGAATCATCGGCAGCATTGGTGGATGGAACTACTCAAAGACTATGACTGTTCTATTTTGTATCATCTTGGAAAAGCCAATGTGGTGGCTGATGCATTGAGCAAAAAATCTATGGGGAGTTTGGCACATATAGCTCCTGCAAAGAGACTTTTGGCCAAAGATGTTCAGAGACTAGAAGATACAGGTATCAGATTTAGTGTTGGAAATTCAAAGGCATTGTTGGCTTATGCTCAAGCTAAGTCTTCATTAGTTGAGCGCATTAAGGCAGCCCAATATGAGGATGAGTGATTATGCAAATACAAAGATGAGGCCTTAGCTGGTAAAAGCAAGGATATGATTGTTGAAAGTGATGGTGTTCTTCGAATAAGTGACAGGCTATGTGTAGCAGACATAGATGAGTTGAGATAAGCTATTCTTAAATAAGCCCCCAACTCTAGATACGCTATGCATCCTGGATCTACTAAAATGTACCATGACCTCAAGCAATTTTATTGGTGGGAAGGTATGAAGAAAGATGTTGCTGACTTTGTTTCTAATCGTTTAACTTGCCAGCAGGTCAAGGCTGAGCTGAGCATCAGCGATCCCGCAGGTCTACTACAACAAATTGAGATTCCAGAGTGGAAATGGGGAAGAATTACTATGGATTTTGTCACCGGTCTACCACGAACCCTTAGAGATTATGACTCTGTGTGGTAATTGTAGATCAACCGGAAAAAATCAGCACACATTTTGCCAGTGAAGACTACATATGGTGGACTGAGGTATGCACAGATATTTATGGACGAAATTGTCCGACTTCACTGAGCTCCAATATCCATCATCTCTGATAAAGGATCACAATTTACCTCACACTTTTGGAAATCTTTTCAAGAAGCACTGGGTACACGAGTAGATCTTAGTACTGTATTTCATCCAGAGACAGATGGGCAGTCAGAATGTACTATACAAATCTTGGAGGATATATTGATAGCTTGTATTCTTGAGTTTGGAGGTAGTTGGGATGCTTATCTACCTTTAGCTTAATTTGCTTGCAACAATAGCTTCCAGTCAAGTATTCAAATGGAACCGTACCAGGCATTGTATAGTAGAAGACATCAATGTCCTATCGGATGGTTTGAAGCTGGTGAGGCTAACTTATTGGGACCCGACTTAGTACAAGAAGCTATTGATAAGGTCCAATTAATCAGGCAGAGATTGCTTACGGCTTAAAGCAGACAAAAGTTTTATGCAGATAAGAGAAGAAGAGATTTAGTGTTCACAATTGAGGACAAAGTGTTCCTATGAGTCTCTCCTATGAACGTGTGATGCAGTTTGGGAAAAGAGGCAAGCTGAGCCCCAAGTTTATAGGACCGTATGAGATACTAGATCGAGTGGGAGTTGTGGCTTATTGTTTGGCACTTCCTCCTGAGTTGTCTTTTATTCATCCAGTGTTGCATGTCTCAATGCTAAGAAAATGTATATCAGACTCATCTCAGGTGCTTGAAGTACCTACTATAACGATTGATGAGAAGTTGTCGTACGATGAGGAGCCAATGACTATTGCTAATAGGCAAGTAAGGAAGCTACGGTCAAAAGAAATTGTGTTCGTGAAAGTCCCATGGAGAAATCATACCGTTGAAGAAGCTACTTTGGAAATGGAAGATGATATGCACGTCAAATATCCTCATTTATTTTAGTTTACAGGTACGTGCTTGAGTTAAATTTGGGGACCAAATTTTATAAGGTGGGGTAGATAGAATAGCCCATAAATTTCAAACAAGGACATATTGGCCATTTAACAAAAAGAAAAGATACACAAAAAAGGGCCGAAGCCCACCAGATTACAATCTGGCAAAAAGGAAAAACAAAGAATGGATTAGGGGAAGGGGAAGGACTCACGGCAAGAATAAAAGAAAAGAAAAAGAGGGCTTTGGGTAGTAGAAGGATTCTAACACAGGGAAAACACACGGGCAACAATAAGTCAAGGGAAAATCTTGTGAAAAGCTTGGCAACCACTTTTGAGAACAAAAGAAAACATGAGATTTTCACTTTTCTTCCATTGAAGAGCACCAGGAAAATTCAACGAAGAGAAACTAACTAAATAGAGAAGAAGAAGGAGGAGGCGGAGGAGAAGAAGAAGAAGATGAAGAAGAAGAAGAAGAAGAAGAAGAAGAAAAAGAAGAAGGTAAATTTTTTAACTTAATTCATAGATTTGATTCATAAATTCCATGGCTATGGAGTTGGGGTTGAGAATTAGTTGAAGAATTAATATTAATGAAACAATGGAGTTCATGGAATTTTTCATGAATTGGTACTACAGGTTTGGGGTTATAAACTTATATATTCTGTATATGCCAAAAAAGGATATTGCTTCAAAAACCTTTCTGTTTCGTTAGTGATTGGTAATCAAATATGCTTGCTACTAATATTGGTGATATTGGAAAAAAATTACAATGGAATTTTGATAGCAGTGAGTTGTGATACTGAAACGGGTCTTGATATTTCAAGTAGAATAAGAGGGATTTGTTGGGTTAATATGATTTGGCGAATTAAGAGTCAAATATGAAACCTTGAGGGTTGGGCATTCTAAATTAGCTATGAATTAGCCTAAACATGGAAATTAACATGAGATCGATATTATGTAATTGTAGATGGATTGGAGGAAGTTGTACGAATTGCTCGAGGTGAAGCATTTGGTATTTCGGCACGAGTACCGTGAGTAGTAATCTTACTGCAATTTGTATTTTTATAACTTGCATGGTTTACACATGATTTTTAATATGAATATGTTAACGATTATTTTGAGTTTCATGTGGGACAAGTCTTTTACTCGATATGATACCGAAATGGTTATTTGAGATGATTACCGTTGTTTTAAATATTCTTTTTGTCACTAGATATGCTTTACCGTTACTTGAATTTATTGTTATCGAAATGAAATTACATGACTTGATAAGATCCGAAATGCCCTATATTGTTTTAAAATATTTTCCTATGAGTATATACGGATTACTGAGACAAGTATAAATGGGAGTAGACTTTGAAGGATCCCGCAGCTAACGGCAGGTTCGTTAGACATGGTGCAACTTGTAATTACCGATTACCGTTACAGCCCTCGCTAGTGGAAAGGTAGAACTAGCATACCGTTACTGATTTCCCTCAAGTAGGGATTATTGTTATATTTGACTTATTGCGAATAGGTCCACAGTTATACCGATTACATGATCCGTTCATTGGAACCTCCCAAATATGAATGTTTATATTATACAGTGTTTACCGAGCTTATTATTGAATTCTCAATTGTATTATACTACAGAAAAAACATGATGAGACTGGAAATTAATTATTGTTTCTGAAAGGGCATTTTTATGATATTTTCTGTTTAATATACTAGCATATTTTCTGACATGTCCCCAATAAAAGCGATTGTGGTTAAGTGCTATTACTCACTGAGCTAGCGACTAACTCCCCGCTATTTTTTCCAGAGACAGCAGTTGACACAGGCGAGGATTTCATTAATTAGAGCGCACAAGTTGATATTTCTTGGTGAGCCTCGCACTTGTTCGCGTGGACGGAGATTTTATTTATTGTTATGGTCTTTTTTGGAACTCCTAGAGTCACTCCATAGTCATTCTTTTAGTATCATGAGTATTCTTTTGTTATTATAGACTTATGTTGAGTATTGCACTTTTTATCGAAATTGGAGATAAATTAGTATTTCTGGTTGTTAGTGGTTGATTATTAATGGTGGAGACTTATTTTGGTTAACTGATAAGTTGCTGGTTGGTTTGTTTGATATTAGGATGGTTGGTTGTTGATTTTGAGACAAGAAATTTTTTTGGATAGCCCAAAAACAGGGGAAACTCTATCCGATTTTCTGTAAAATACCGTTGAGGTTTACTTGGGGGTATTTGCTCCTAAGTGCCGGTTATGATCCTAAATTGGGTCGTGACATATATTTACCTTAAACTTATTTGAATTCCATAAAAGATCAATCCGTTGCGCGAATTATCTCATGTTCACGCATATATGGGAAAGTATCGTATTTTAAGGGAGTATAATATTGACAACCTACTCTTATCACAAACTTCAATGGGTGATTCCACATACCTTTTACTAATTTATTTTTTAATTGAATTTTTACACCCTATACAAAAGCTTAATACCCTATTTATTTTAAATAAATACCATTTTAAAAATTATATTATATATCTACCTTTTACCCTTTATAGCAAAATACCTAATTATGGTTGCATCCTACCCTTAAGCCACCATATATGCTAATTAATATTTTTCTCTCTCATTTTTCAGATTTCTCTCACATAATCACGGTAAAATTCACAAACCACGTTCTCTCTCTCTCTCTCTCTCTCTCTCTCTCTCTCTCTCTCTCTCTCTCTCTCTCTCTCTCTCTCTCTCTCTCTCTCTCTCTTTTTCATACACTTTACTCTTTTCTCCCACAAAATCACGATTTAGACTTCTTCTCCCACCCACATTGCCAAGGTCTCCCCCATTATCACTCCCCAGCTAGTTTCTCTCTAAAATCTCGGTTTTATTTCCTGATACAAGTTCTTGTGGTAAGTACTTAGCTTCTTAGATTTTGATACAACTATTTAGCTTCTTCGATTTTGATACAGATTTTTGTTTGCTTCTTAAACAATAACCATTGTTATTGTTTACTCGACGGAAAGCTATCGTTTTTCACTCCAATGTCGGATTCAACGTCACACAAGATGGTGACCAGAGGTATACCCACCAAAATTCTCAATTTTGATGTGCCCTCTTTCTCGTTGCAAATAACTCAAGCGGAGTCGGAATTTGCAGGTGTATCAGCAACTACAGCTTCAGAGAGAAGAACTAAATTACACAATGACAAATCGAAAGAAGTCCAAGTTGAGAAATCTTCAAAAGAAACAAAAATTCCAGTTGCGAAAAGGAGGAAAAAACCTATGAATGATTCTTCATGTGTCATGGTTAAGGAAGTTGATGCAAAAAAAAAAAAAGCTCGAATATACGGCACGAAAAGGTAATTGTTATTGTATCAATATGTATTCAAAGTTGTTGATGTGATTTATGTGTACATTGATGTATTCATAATTATTGATGTGATTTATAAGTATGTTGATGTATTCGTATGTATTTATATGTATTCATAAGTATTCAAACAATCCAGAACTCATTTGCACATTTACAATGTCATTCACTGAGTTGTGCTTACTTAGTCTATTATATGTTGTATTTAAATGTATTTAGATGTATTCAAATTTACATTCACTGTATTCGTACTATTACAGTGTCCTTGTGCATATTGTATGTAGACATTCACTGTTTTGTACTCAATGGTATGAATTTGATTTTCGCATGTTGATATACACACACACACACACACACACACAAAAAAAAAAAAAAAACTACTTCCAGCATGTATTTCTTACTCCAATGTATTTTTCATATTGTATCTAGTTGTATTTATATGTATTCATAACACTTAATGAGTTTATGTATTGATGCAGAATATGAAACCTTTTTTAAATTCATGTTTGTCTGCAGGAAATTAAACTGTTTGAGAAACAACCACCAAGATTATCACCGCATATTTGTTCATATACAAACACAAACATAGTATCCGATCTCAAAGAAAAGCTTACTCCATAACAGTATAAACTATTAAGTTCTACTTGTTTTGGAAGTCTTCTTGATATGGATCAGTGTGAGGTACAACATCAGCTCTTCAGGTGCTTCATGGTTTTGCAGTTAGAAGGAAGTACTGATGACGTATTTTCAATACACGTCAATTGTACAACAATTTCCTTCTCAATCAGGGAGTTTGCGCTCGTCACTGGTCTCAAATGTGTTGGTGACCCACATGAATTTAAGTTCAACACAGAGGTGCCCAACCGTATTGTTCAGACATACTTTGGTGGTGCAAAGCTGGTTAAAAAGGAAGCTTTGTTGTCATACTTTAATGAAAAGAAATGGGGTGCTGACAACGATGGGGATGCCATCAAGATAGCATTACTGTAACTCATAACACATGGATATTTTTATCAGAGAAGAAAACTACAACCATCCCGCGACTACATTTTGACTTGGTAGAGAGTGGGAGATACTCTGATTATCCATGGGGTTTACTTTTGCATTCAGCTACCTTATTACATCTATTAGTAAGAAAATGGATTATCACAAGAAGTACTATAGGATAGCTGGGATGCCTCTCGCCATGCAAGTTTGGTTTTATGAGTGTTGTTCAAAGGTTGACCCCAAAATTGCAAAGCGCCTTGGTAATCGGGTACCCAGATTACTCAATTGGAGAACCACTGTCAATCTACCAACTTATGCTTATCTGATGAACGGCATGTTCAAAGACCAGGGAAACATGGCAAGTTACTATTTCATAAGTTTCTGAAATTTAATTTTGCATACAATATTTGCTAAGTATAGAGGTCTGCATATAACATACATCCGAATAAGTACTGTATTTTCAAGTTGCATATAACCTACAATTCCATACAGATACATACATTATAACCTACATACAACATACATATGCATACAACATACATCTAAATACAACCTAGATTTTTCATATACAGTACACCATTCATTTGCATACTAACTATAATTTCCATTTGCATATAGCCTGCAGTTGCACACAATATACATTTCAATACAGTGATCAAAAGTAAATATAGGTTGTATATAACATACAATTTCAATTTTTATATTGTTTACAACGACATCCAACCAAGCGATGTAGAGCTTGTTGTTATTCAGATTCCTCTGGGAGGCGTTGAGGTAGATAACAGTCCTACCAATACTCATTCAGACAAGCATGCAGATGATTCGGATGATTCAGATGACTTTAGTCCTACACCGCATCTTCAGCCCGAGAAGAAATATGATGCAAGTGTTGGACCTTCTTCATCTCCGCCCCACAAGAAGCGCAAAGATCATATTATAGATCACTCAGAGGCAGAGACTAAACCCAAGACTCCTGATGATGGTATATCTGAAGTCAATCAAACTGTGTTGCATGATAAGAAGCCGACAGATTCTAAAACAAATAAAGTATCTTCTTTGAGGAGTGATCTAAATTCATTCAAAAACTACGTGAGTTTTGTATGCCATTAGTAAACATTACAGTTTGGGAATTAACATTCATATATTTTTCCAACACCTATCTAATTTTTTATGTTTTGATTTGGTGATGGGCGAGTTCACGTCTTTAAGAACATTGATCAATGAAAACTTTAAGAAGATTTCTGACCAGATTAAAGCAAATCAGCCCACAGTGACACGTGATGATGGTACTCAAATGTCGCCTGATGTCGATGTGCAAGATAATCCCAAAGGCCAGCCAAAGAGTGATATAACTGTCGGCGAGAATTTAGAGGTTGACATTTTTTAACCTCTATTAGTTTATGTTTATATAAAGATAATAAGACTATATGTTTCTTATTTATTCACAATAATCATCTACACCACACCATACATATTTTGAAATACAAGTAAATACATGTTACTTAAGTTATACATAAGTATTCAGTATTATATAAATACATATATAAACTGAAACATGTATGTACTTGTATTTATGTTTATTTTCAAGTTGTATTCTGTTAATGTATACTGTATTTTCAAGTTGCATACAACCTACAGTTCCATACAGCTACATACAACATAATCTATATGTAGTTGTATTTATGTTTTACAGAATACGATATTCATTAACAGAATACAATATTTATTAACTTGAAAATGCAGTATACAGTAACAGAAAATAGTAATTGAAACATGTATGCAGTTGTGTTTATGTTTATTTTCCACTTTATAAATGTCACGACCCGAATTCCCTCCATCGGGAGTCGTGATGGCGCCTACTATTGGGAGCTAGGCAAGCCAAAACTTAACTACTTACTTTGTTAACAAATTACTTCCTTTTAACAAATATAAGTGATAACATGAAATCAGCGCAACATTAAATAATTAAGCGGAAGGTAACAATAAAATATCTGGAATCAACGTCTATTACAACTTCTAAAAATCTCAAATACCCAAAATCTGGTGTCACAGTGTCACAGACTATCTAAGATTACTACACACAAGGTCTGAAGAATAACAGTACACTGTTTCTGAATAAAAGAGAAGGAAATAGGAAATAGAGATAGAGGGAGACGTCAGGGCCTGCGGACGCCTGCAGGTCTACCTTGGGCCTACTGTCTGAAAGCTGCTCCGGGATGTGCACACAGTGCAGAGTGTAGTATGAGCACAACCGACCCCATGTGCTGTTAAGTGCCTAGCCTAACCTCGGCGAAGTAGTGACAAGGCTAGGACCAGACTACCAAATAAACCTGTGCAGTTTAAATATATACAGCGGAAAAAGAAGTACAGAAATAACCAGTCAATGTGGGGAGGGGAAACATGCTGTGGGGGAGATAACAGTTCTGAATAGAAAGGCATCAAGTAAAGAAAGGAAAAACATAACTCGAATATCAACAAGGAATAGAAATCAACAGTTTGCACGG